GAAGAGCTACCCGAACAGCGGCCCCCATGGCTGGTACCCGTTGTTGATGGCGTTGGAGATCAGCACGGTGGTGAAGGTGTAGAGCTCCCCGAACTCCTCGTCATCGGTCGCCTTGGACGTGACGGTGAAGTTTGTGTCTACGAGGCCAGAACTTTCAGCAGGCCTTGGATGACCGCAAAGAGATGAGCCGAGATGCCGCCGATGACCCAGAACTGCTCGTTCCTCCACCACTCCTCGATGCTGACTCCGCTCCGCCGCAGCTCCAGGATGCCGGTGGCGAAGATGGAGATGAAGAGTGCGATGAAGAAGAGGCTCAGAGGCAGATGGCGGGGAGGGTGCAGTAGGCCAGGAGAGGGAGGGAGGTGAAGGGGTAGATGGTGGTGTTAACGTAAGCGAAGCGCTCGAACCACTTTAGGTGGCCGTTCCGGTAGCCGTACCACACTGGGCTGTGGCGACTGATGAAGATCTCGACGGAGCCGAGCGCCCACCGCAGCACCTGGATGAGCCGATCGGAGAGGTTGATCAGCGCTGATCCTTTGAAAGTCAGCCGCTTGGGCAAGTAGTAGATGGACTGCCGGGAATGCATCGTGTTGTTGGGGATGGAGTAAGGAAACAATAAAATCTGAATACTATGATGCAATTAAAAAGAATCATTTCGATCAAGAAAATCGTTATAGTATTTAAATAAGAGGTAAGATAAGAACACTTATAAAATATTTTCAAGTGCACACCTTCATGAACTATGATCCTATTTATAGGACCTAGTGGTAATTAACTCACTCCACTATGTCACCCATGATTGAGGTAGTTATAGGAACTACCCTATAACTTCTAGTTACATCGATTTACGACATTAAATAAACATGCTTTTGAACTGGAAGTGACTTGGTGAGGATATCTGTAACTTGTTCATCTGTTCCACAATACTTCATCGTTATAGCTCCACTTGCTACAAAATCTCAAATAAAATAATAGCGTATCTCTATGTGCTTCTTTCTTCTATAAAATGTTGGATTCTTCGTCATTGCAATTGTGGCTTTGTTGTCACAAAATATTTTCGTTACTTCTTTTTATTCTTAATGATGATCTTCAAGAAGTCTTCTAAGTCATATTGCTTGACAAGCTGTTGATGTTGCGATTACATATTCTGCTTTTGATGTTGATAACACAGTTGTTGCTTGCATTTTTGAACCCTAAGATATAGTTTTTTATCCAAGGCTAAAAATATTACCTGAAGTACTCTTTCTATCATCTAAAGCTCTTACCCGATCACTATTAATGAAACCAAATAATTTATATTTAAAATTATAAGAATACCAAATACCATAATCTGTAGTTCCAGCAATATAACGTAGAATTCTTTTAACAGCTCTGAGATGATGTTTCTTAGGCTATGCATAAACCTGGATTCTATACCAACAGAGAAGATAATATTTGGTCGAGTATAAGTTAGATAAATCAAACCTCCAACTAAACTTATGTAGTATCTTATATTTGTCAGACATGTACCATCTTTAAGTTTCAGTTTCTCATTTACATTCATGGGTGTTACTTGAGTTTTGTAATTAATCATATTAGATTTTTTAAGTAGATCCATTGCATACTTTCTTTATGAAATAAAATTTTCATCTGATCCTTGCTTTACTTCCAACCCAAGAAAATAATACAGTAGACCTAACATTTCAAACTTATTCATCATACACTTTTTAAATTCTGCTACAAAAGAGTTAGATGAACTCATATATATATAATATCATCAACATAAAGATAAACCATTAGAATATTATGTTCACCTTCAAGAGTAGGTTCATTATTACTCCTCTTAAATCCATAGGTTCATTATTACTCCTCTTAAATCTATTTTAAAGAAAATAATAATCAATTTTACTCTACCATGCCCTTGAAGCTTGTTTAAAGCTCATAAAGAGTTTTCTTTAGCTTATACACCTTTTCTTCATGTCCTTTAACAAAAAAACCTTTAGGTTGAATAACAAAAACTTCTTCATGTAAATCATCATTTAAAAACATAGATTTCACATCAAATTGATAAACAGACCAACTCAAGTAAGTAACTAAAGTCAAAAAAGTTCTCACGGTTTCGAATCTAGCAACCGAAGAAAAAGTATCATCAAAATCAATACCTTGTTGTTGTGAATATCCTTTTGCTACAAGTCGAGCCTTATGCCTTTGGATACTTCCATTTGTATTAAACTTAATTTTGAACACCTATTTTAACTCAATAGGTTTCTTTTCATTCGCTAGATTCATTGGCTCCTAAGTTTTATTCTTCTCAATTGACTTGATTTCCTCCTTCATTGCTTTTCGTCATTTCTCTTTTTCAACTGCTTCCTCAAAAGTTATAGGATCTGAAATAAACAAAGCAAATGTTGGGTCATAAATTTCTGTTAGTGATCTGAAATTTCTTGAAGAGGTTTCATCTGAGGAATCAGAATTTGAACTACTATTGGGTGAGGTTGACAATGAACTTGTTGGAGCAAGATCTGTTATTTGATTCTGCGGAGTACCTAGTTCTATTGGAATCTGAATTTGTGTTCCACTTTTATTGGTCTCTCAATTCCAACTTGTTCTTTCATCAAACACAACACTTCTGTTAATAATAACTTTGCCACTAATAGGATTATATAATCGCTTTGGATGGTAAGGAATAACCAATTAAGATATATTTTTTAGATTTTTCATCAAGCTTATGATGATTTTGTGAATTTATCAAAGCATAAGCAATACAGCCAAAAATTCTTAAATGACTTATACTTGATTTCATACCATACCAAGTCTCAAAAGGAGTTTCATTCATAACACCTTTGTTGGTGAAATATTTAACAAATAAATTGCTGTTGCAACTACTTCTGCCCAAAACTGATTTGGAAGGTGTTTTCCTTTAAGCAAACTTCTTGTCATTTCAACGACAATTCGATTCTTACATTCAGTTACATCATTTTGCTTCGGTGTATATGATGCTATCAATTCTCTGCGAATACTATTTTCTTCACAAAAAGAACTAAACTCATTAGATAAAAATTTATCATCTCTATCTGATCGAAGTGTCTTTATATATCTACCATTTTGCCTTTCTACAAGTGTCTTAAATTTTTTAAAATTATCAAATATTTCAGATTTTAGTTTTAGAAAATATAGCCAACTGCGACTATAATATCAATAAACAATAGAAAATATTGACTTCTACCAAATGATTTTATATTCATAGGTCCACATAAGTTAGTATTAATTCAAGACAATTAGATACTCTTCATGATTTTTCAATAGAAAATAGTTTTTTTTTTTTTTGCCATAAATGCATCATTCACGTATATTAAGTGTATTAATTTTAGGTAATCCGAAAACTATTTTTTTTATTTAATAATCTTAAATCTTTAATGTTAATGTCCATATCTTAAATGTCATAAATTAGACTCGTTTTATCGGTTACAACAAAACCGTACTTTAATATTTGAAACATACTCATCCAACCTGAAACGTAGACCCATCAGTAACACACTGAGAGCGTCTGCTGCTGCAGGCTTATTTGCTCCGCTCTTGGAATGCTTCATCTTCTTGCGGCGTCCGAAGCAGAGGCAGCAATCGCAGCTCATCATCTTCGGACGCTTGGGGCCCTTGGGAGGGTTGTAGCCATAGAGAGCTTGCCGCCGGAAGACGCATCCGGTCCCCACGTACACCGGTCCTTGGATGCCATCGAGGCCTTTCATGTTGATCTGAGGAAACGCAGAACGGTTGCAGTCACTAGCAGTAGCTTGCTGGTGATACCTCTAGCAATTTGGAAACGCCGCATCTTACGTCGAAGTAGACTGTGTTCCTGTTCGCGTATCGGCCATGCTTGTCGATGCCATCAAACCTATGCGGGAACTGCACGTAGCGGACTCTTCTTCCGGTCTGGGGGTCCATCGGGAAGCACATCGCCTCTCGAACGGCCTTACCGTTGTTTATGTAGTGGTCGCAGTCGAGGTTGAGCATGAAGGGCGCGTTGGTGAGGACTGCAGAGACGCGGATCTGCCGATTGCAGGTTCTTAATCCGAGTTAGAAGACCAAAATGTGGTGGTAAGGGATCCAAGAACAAGATATGGATTACCAGAGGATTCATGGCACCGGCGTTCTTGCGATGCTGGAATTCCGGCCGCTTCTCACGGGTGACGTAAACGAGGCGAGGGAGCTCATTTCCCTCGGTGTCATGCCCTCCGCTGTGGCCCAAGAAGACCTGGATCATGCCCGGATGATCACGGGTGTTGTTTCCAGGCCATGGCGTGCCATCTTGCATGATCCAACCTTCAGGGGGAACCTTCATGGCTTTCGCCACCAATCCAAATCTGAAACTCCTCACTCACCTGAGTTGCATTAACACGAGAATCAAATTGCATTACAAAAATCAATATTTCGTGGATACGTAATTGAGGAGTTTTAGCTTACCGGACGAGAACGAGCGCTCGTTATGATAGGTGGGATTTGAGGAGGATTGCTCTCGTCATCCTCGGGTCCTCTGCCGTAGTTCATCTTCCCACGGAGCATCGCCTCCGTGATGTGCTTGTTTAGCTGAGGCTGCTGCTGCTGCTGCTGCATCATGCTTTGCTCTTCTTCAACCTTGAACTCGTGTTCGATGTCATCTACATCTTCTTCGTCTTCGTCTCCCTCCACTTTCGGGCTCCCTTCCTCGCATGTCAAGAACCTCGTCAACTTTTTGCTTCACAAAACAGCATGATTTCGCGTTCCAGATGACAAAAACTAGTTCCTCCTACTTGATCTATAACCAGTTTCAAGATTTGTGTGATCAGTTGAGATGTTTCTATCTACTACATAGAAACAGAGCACGAGTGCAATGGCTGGTTCCATTTTCTTCGAGATGAAACAGTCTTGGGCCTCCAAATTTCAACTGGAAGCACTTCAACTTCCAGATTAGAAGCAAGTGATTAGATCTACATCTCACAATTCCAACAGAGAAGATCTCAAATCATCCTCAAATCATTCCTGGGAAAACCCAACTATCTGTAGCACAAGTCATGAGAAAAATGACAAGTTACAATGTAATTGCAAAGTTCAGAGCCCATGAAAAACTTGTACAAATCAATTTGAATTTGATTTATAAGGTTAGATTAGCTTTCTACGATCGGCGGCTTAGATTCATAAAGTTAATGAATCAGTTATTTCATCAATTTGGACCCGTCCATCTTCTTCTCTGATACATTTTAGTAGAATATGAAGAGCGGCACAACTTGGTATTGAACACGACAAATCCTCGATTTCCATCACACCAAGAGAGGACCAATTCTTTATATGGATTTCTTCAAGCATCTTGAAGAAAGATGACCAGGAAATAACAGTAAACCAGAAGGTGCATTCCTCATGTCAAAAGTTCCGCATCTGTGATCAGATTGTTATCTACTGAACTGAGAGAAGCATCTTATCAGCCTGTCTTGGCTCCAGCATCTTACATTTAGAAGCAAATATACACAGACCGCTGCTTGTCAATAGGTAAGTCCTATGACAGTGCATCCTTCACCACCTGCAACAATAATATCAAGCAACAACACCAAAAGCCAATTAACTACAAACTTATAGTTGACTGATGAAAGCGAGATTACTGATTCTGCAGAAATATCAAGAAACCTTCTCTAGAGATGACGTTGCAAGTTTCGATTCGCATGCAAAGTGACTGAACTGAAGATTTCACGAAATTCTCTCTCAAACTACTTGCAACATTCAAAAATTTTCTAGATCTAACTACAAATGTTAAATAAATATTTATAGTGAGGTTTGCACATTTCCTATCGAGAACTTGTAAATCCATTTCAGCTTAGTGAAAATCTGGAACATCATTTCAAATATTAAAAGAAGCAGAGTAATTTTTCTTCACAACTCCTGGTTATATCACTGTATGATTCTATCATCATCATGATAGCACAAACATAAATCGCTTCATTATAACCAGATATAGCTAAAAGGAATTATTAATTTTATGTGTGGACTACTGCAGAAGGCATGGAAACTGACCTTTCTCACCCATGAAAATGGATAAGACTTCAAAGCTACACGATCTTGCTATAAAATTTTGCCCTGACCAACCCTGTTTGAGTTCCTCCCGATGTCTCTACAAATAGCTAACTCGATATCATTTTGCCTCCTTCATTCATTTAATGTCTATACAATTTCACCATTTTCAGGAAATCTTTCTCCAACTGAAACTTCTCTGTTTCTGCAATTGATAATAGACTTCATCATTAAATAATAATAATAATAATACTGTTGATGCCCATAAATAAATTAAAGGGCAGATGATAGCAATACCATTAAAGAGACCTGATTCAAATTTATCAGTGGAGAAGCGCAATTGCTTGTATTTGCAGCTTCCTTTACTCGGTAGCTCTTATCTTGAGAAGACACTTTCCCTGAGATGAACATATACGACGATTGTGCGAAGCAGAGGGATGAGGGTGGCTTTTGTGAGACTGCTTCTTAAATTGATACTGAGATGGATTTACTGACAAAGACTCTATCAGAGAATTACTTGCATTTGCTGCTTCCAATACTTTGTATTTCTTTCCTCTAGTAGATACTCCATTTGGAAGAGGCAAATTCACTGATTGCGAAATACAAACTGATGGGGATGCCGTTGGACGAGATTGCTTCTTTATTCTAAATGGGATTTCCTGAGATGGATATTCTGATAATGACTCTTGTTTTCTTCGCAAGAACCTACCATATCCAATTCAAGGGATGTAACGAATTTTAAAGTACAAAATATAGATGATACATGTTGAAAAACCTGAGTGAATCAAATTTGAGGGAGGGAGCATTACCTGACTTCAGTCAAGAGCTGCAGTTTTTTTTGTCTTGCCTCCTGCAGTTTCTTCTTCTTTGCTTCAGTTTCCTGAAGAAATTAGAAAAGTTGGTAAACCTAATATTTGTTCAACTGGGACAAAATCCCAATTAAGTTAAAATAATGACATAAAGGTTAAGTTTAGACCTCTTCAATTATGCAAATTTTGTTTTCTTTCCAACTAAAAAACCTAAAATCTGTAGAAACATAAAGGTATCGATCCAAGATTCTGAACAAATTTGGCAAAATTGTAGAACCATCATAACTAGATCTTCGAAATAAATGGTCAGAAACCATAAAATCAAGAAAAGAATTTCCATGTTCTAGAACACTAAATCAATAAAAATCTAAAATTGGTCACGCACAGGGAACAAAACAACATGGAAAAAGAAAAAAGAAAAGAAAAACCTTGACATCCGTAGAGACAACAAAATAAGAAAAGCCATGGGTCTCCAAAATCAGGATAACACCACAACCCACATCAACTAACATCTAGAGAAGACAGATCCCACAAATAATGTACATGAAAAAGAATAATAGCTGTAGAGAGCACATCTGACCTCGAGCAACTCCATATGATCTTGCAGGAGGGATTGGTATTTGAATCTTTGCCTGACATCATCCCTGAAGGGGGAACAAGTAGCAGATGGCGATGGTTCCTTGCGAACCTTTCTCGTCTTCTTCATCATTCTCACCTCCATCGACAGATGAAAACAAAGAGGAAAGAAGAGAAAGGTGGAGGAGATAAAGAAAAGTGGGTGGGTTACAAGGCAACACCCAGAACGGAAACAGGCCTATTCACCAAGAAGAGGTCATAAAGAAAACAGATGGGAACAGAGACATATTGTGAAACTGGAGAAATAAAGGTGGATGGAGAGGAAGAGAGAGAGAGAGAGAGAACAGGGCGGGGGGGGAGGAGGAAGGGGGAGGTTCCTTCCCCTGTTACACCGTCCATGTGGAAGGTCTGACCAGGACAAAACCCAATGAGTCCCATGCCAATTGGAAACAGGAGAGAATGCCAACTCTCTCTCTCTCTCTCTCTCTCCCTGGGCTGCAGGGGGGCATTTCTGGAATGGGATGATGGTGTCGGCAAGAGAAGGGTTGCACCCATCGTTTCCTCTGCTCACCTCTTTCCTCTCCTCTAATCTCTCTCCACCCCTCCCCCTCCGTTTCTCCTCGCATTAGACCCGTAACGTGAGATGCAATGGTCTGGTCTCCTTGGCTTGGAAGGTTGAGGCTGGTGCCTCTACTAGATGAGAGGGAGAAGGGGGCATGGCATGGCATGGCATGGCTGAGGTGAAAGCACAGAAGATTAAATGAGACTCCTGTTCCTCTGATCTTGCAGCAGTTGACCGTTAACTACTCCTCCCAGTTTACAGGCGGACCACCTACCTCTCTTCTCTTAAATAACAACCCTCCTCTTCTTTGCCTGTAAGACAGACAATACCATCATCAACCTAAGACATTATTTTTCGCTACTCTCGCACATGGAATTTGCTCTTAATTACATTAAACTCGCTCGGCCACACCAGATAAAGACAGCTGAGATTGAGAGGATCTAACAGTTGTTCGCCTTGTGGCATGGTAGGAGAAAAGAGACCCATGAAACATATGAGTGAGAGAGGGACGATGAACAATCTATTAGCCACAGACAAAGCAGGAGAAAAAGAGACTGTTGTTACAATACAAATCGCTAACGACTGTGTCTATTAGCAGCCAAGTGTATCATAGTTTCTTCTCCAGAAGAGTGGCACTTGACTGTGTCAAGTCAAGCTATGAGCAATCCAGAAAAATTGGAGTATTTTACTCTTCTTTGCCGTTTGCACAGGTTACTCAGGCCAAGAATACACTAAAAGATCAAGACAACTCAAGAATACACTAAAAGACCAAGACAACCAGTGAGTGATGACCAAATCAATTGCTCAACACTTGATGTATTCCTCCTATTGTTGTAGAACATACTGTCCAAGTATACAGACTAAAACAATACAACAACACACGAATTATACCAGAGATCTGATATACACAACCTACACGGTTTTTCATAGAAGGATTTATGGTTACACAACTGCTTAGCAAGCAACTTATAACCAAACAATATTGCTTCGTCTATGGGTGAGCTTTAGAAACTCCAGCAAGGAGATGTCATATAGCAAGAAGAGGTTCTGATCAAATTGAGTTTGTATTACTAATTCCATTAATCCTAAAAGGAACCTGTAAGACAGCAAGAGTAGCAAAACACCTTGTAAGGTGATGCCAGTTATAATTATCTGGACACTTCTATCTCGGAGAAAACTTTCTGTATTGATCAGGTCAACTTCAGTATCAAGTATCCATGACACAAATCATGATGTTAATGCCTTCCAACTTCAGACTTCCTCCTATGAAGCATCAGACCTTGAAACCCTCTGCACGAAGGCATTGTAGATGAGCTTGGATCCATTTTTTGCATGCAGCCTCTCCATGCTCCACAATGCATTCGTCTCTCAGCTTCTTTGTGTCTGGGCAGGCACAGCAGATCTTCTTCTTTGGCTTTGTATCATCAGGTGTCAGCCCTGCTGCAGCAAGACCTTGTCTAATAGGAGGATCTGGAGACTTTGCTTGCAGATGCATTCCTGTTTCTGTATTGCCCATTTAACCCAATTTGTAGATGCCAGAAAGCCTTTAAGAAACAATAGTTATTGTTGGAAATAGTAATACTAAACAGCTGGTACCACATAACAGAGTCTGGTAAAACATCAATATATGCATATATATTCTAAGAAAAAATAACACTAAAATAAGTTGACATTCTCCCCAATGTGGTACATAGTTGTAATCCATAACTTCTAGTTTCCTAGGCGGAACACCTACCTGATAAATCTTGTAAATGATTGACTAAAAATAGCATCATCCCAGCAGTGTGGTGCTCATTGATTGTCACATAGCAATGCTGAAACTGATACTTTTCCGTGCCTTGCCATATGTTATTGGGGAAGACTTGTCTATCTGAATCAAGGTCATAAAAGATCATGAAATCAACAAACAGGTCCGGAATGGGATAAAGGTTTAACTGTTCATATGGGTTTCGCTTAGACTGCATCCAATTGGATGCCTTACTTCCCTTCAGAGGGACAAAAGCCAAGACATCCATGCTGATGTAACATGATACCTGAAAAGTCTCGTCCAGAAAGAAAGCATAATATCATGTCATACACCAAATGGGAGAAATGACTAATTAACTTGATGGGCTTATGTCATGACCACAACCAAGAATTGATTCTTTTTTTTTAATCAATGGCAGAAAATGCTTTAACCTAAGTTAATTGTCATAGATACATGTAAGCCTATAAAGCAACTCAAATCTCCTCTCTCGTCTAATATGGTAATAAAATGGAATTGCATATATCATCCAAAAAGAATGTAATTCTGTCACCACATTTCCTCTGGCATAAGATGCAGAGGCAATGATTTTAGGCATGCTATTATATCCATATTCTTGCATATTAATCAAAACCAAGACATGAAGACAGTAAACCTTCTGATCTAGAAACACCCTCGTACATTATAGAAATACATTTTGCAATCAAGGGTACACTAGCAATTTTGTCTAACACAAAAACTTTAGATATTATATAAGGGGACTCGAACAACGGAAAGACTGAACCACAGGTTTTCAAGGAAACAATAAAGATTTGACTTGCCAACCAGTATCAAGTATGCCAGATGACTTTTTCTCGTAGATGCTTATGCCAGATTGAAAAGTCAATTATTCCTGATGTGCAGTTATGCAGACTTATGAAGAGTTTCTAAAAATAGGAACTAATCAAAACTAGGTAAGGTTTAGGGGATCAATTAGCAAAATTTGAAGTCTGGAGACCCAATTGAAATCCCCCAGAGTTCATGGACGCCTTGTAATTTACTGGTTTTCTCGATTAATGTATTTGGGGAACTCGAAATAAATTTTGAACCCCAAGCCCCAATTTTTCACCCATGTGAATTTATAATCGGTTATAAGATTATAACCAAAACATATGATCCAAAAGCAAGTGAACAAGACCTGATAGAAGACCAAGTGAAAGAACCCATCAAACCCGTTCATTCCCCAGAATCGACATGATAGAAGACAGAAAACAATCTAATCCGCTGCATTTCTTGCAGAAACTACTACAAGCAACGGTGGTCTCTTCTAGTTCAGCACCACCGCATGGTAAAACCCAAATCGGCAAACCCTAAACTACAACATCTTTTGGACAAAACGGAGCGATTTAGGATCTACAAAGAAAAAATCACAGAGAGGATAAGCATACGGAAATCGAAGAGAGCTAAGACGACATCTAATTTGGAGAAACGGAGAGAAGGGATCGTACCTGACTCCCTTCTGCTTCCGTTGGGTTATCGAGCCCGCTTGCGCCGAAGCAAACACTCTGGGGGGTACAATCTGCTTCGGGAAGTTTAATGGTCTTCCCACAACCGTCCATCCCGACCCCCTTTCCATCCCAACCGTTTCTGATCACCTCCTTGCCGAGGGACTTGTGCCGAACACAAGTTGCACCCGGTTCAATGAACCGGAATCGAACCGGTTCAAACTTGTTAATGTCGCCACTATTTAGGATTAATTATATAGAGCCTTTGTTACCGTTAAACTTTATAGAGAAACATATACTTTGTTAAAAATATTAAATAATTTAAAAGTTAAATATATTAAAATTAAAAAATAAAGAAAATACAGTAATAAACCTTGATAGAATCATAAGGTCGATCTTGATCTCAAATCTCGTTTTCATCACTTAGGATGAGCGTCGATGGACCAATGACATGCCGGATAATATTTGATTTAGTTTTGTAATAATTATCTAGATCGAAATAGATTTTAAGTGTAATTGGATTGGAATTGGACCAACTCAATTTGGATCCAATTTTGGATTATGCTAAGCCAAATGAAAGGCTCAAACAATGACCCAACTAGAGGAATCGTCGATGACACAATCTTCGAGACTGGTTCATGCTGTGGTACCGCCAGACTAGGTGGTGATACCGCTAGTCTGGGTGGTGGTACCACGCAAACATGGTCTCCCAAGCGATGGTACCGTCAAACTAAGTGGTGTTAGTGTTATAAGTGGTGGTACCGTCAGTACCTCGAAAACCAAGGATGAGACACTTTTAGGCTCCAAATTTGAATCCACTTGAGGCTTATAAATATCTCTCTCATCCCTGGTTAACAAACATAAGAATTGAAGTAAAAAAGTATAAAAACGCTATTGTAATATTATGAGAACTCTCAAGCTATTAGTGTTAGTGAAGTTTAAGAGAGGAAGTAGTGGGGGGTGGGGTGTAAAGGTTCTCTTTTAAACCTATCAAAAGGAGAATCTGAGTGTAAAAGGATAGTTGATCTTCGCCGGTTGAAAAAAGATCAATAGTGAAAACTGATGGCCTCGAGCAAAGAGGAATCGGGTGGATGTAGGTCACGACGACCAAACCACTATAAAAATCTAGTTTGTATTTACTTCTTGCTATTTACCTTCGTTGCAAATTAAATTCTTTCTTTTTACTATGTTTCGGTATCCTTTCAAAGTTAAGCATCTCCTATATTGATTTTAATCGAACGAAAATTTTTCAAATCGATGATTTTATCCGTTACACTAATTCACCCACTAAACCCTCTCTCTTAGTAACGATTCGATCCTAACAATTTCAAAAAAAAAACAAGCTCATACTTATCACACTATCATCAGCGCATTCCAAGAAGAAACAAGCTCATACTTATCACACTATCATCATCAGCCTGAGTATTCCAAGAAGAACTACGCTCATAGTTATCACATTATCATCAGCAAAGAGTCAAATCATGGCCTTTGTTTTCAGTAGTTCTCAGACAGATACTATTAGTACAAGAGGTGGAGAGAGAATGAGAGTTAGTCCTGAGATGACATATAATATTCGAGTAATATCTAGCTGTCATAAATCAATATTTAGTTTACATAACTCGAGGACAAACAAAGAGCAAGTAATTAATGCTCGAATGTCAACGGGATCCCATCAAGATTACATGGGAGTAATTAACATTCATCGCCAACATCTCTGCGATCAAAAGAACAAAATTGCATTAAATAACATATCATGTCTGGGTCAGCGACTTGAGAGGCTGGGCCCTGATACATGTGTCATCAACACCACTCCTCTGGCATTTCCGCTGCTTCAGCTTACTTTATGCACTGAGGAGGCTTTCTCTTCTTCTTCTTCTTCTTCCCCTTTGACCACAGAGAGGAGACTGCGCAAAGGTATGGTGAAAAGAAACCCACGGTGGCCGCAGCATCTCCTCCTCTTGCCTCCTTGACTTGGGGGAGGATAATTAAACCTATCCAAATCTTTTGGAGATGTATGCTGTTGCTACGTGTTAATGCTCTGCACATCTGCACTAAAGTCAAAAGGGACCACCACCACATCTTACCAGCATCATTAACCATGATGGTCACCATCATTATTGTCATTGAACATTGGATTAGAGTTGAAAGTCTAATTAATCTTTGCAGTTTATGAGTCATTGTCACTCCAGACTTGGCCAGGTTTTAGCTTAATATTCTAACAACACCACTCTCTCTCTCTCTCTCTCTCTCTCTCTCTCGACAAATATATCCATCTTCTACTATTTAGCTTGTTATAATTATTTGTATTGGGCAAAGTTATATATGCATTCTTCTAAATTTAATAATTCTTCATATTTCTTCCTCTAAATTATATTCTTTCAAAGTTGAGATATGGATGTTAATGTGATTTATCACCGTCCATCGAGTTAGAACTATTAATACATTTAATACACTTTAAAATTATGATATGATGGATTTTAATAATACTTAGATCAAATCGATTTTGTTCAAGCCTAAATAAAATTGAGATGGTCTCGAATATCAATCTATATAAAAATCAAGGTCGGATGTGATTCTCGACGTAGTCTCTTTTTTTTCGTGCTATGTCACCACATGTTGATTTATAATTAGATCAATATTTATAATATTAATTTATTATGATGTAAAAAATATTTAAAGTGTTATAAATATATGATATTCTATATACATTATTTTACTCATATAAGTTAACATGAATTATAATTAGAAGCCGTTTGCTAAGTGTTTTGATGGATGTCAGTCCAATTTAAATGCATTTTCCAATTTAAATCAGCAATTACTTCAATTGTGGGGGGTTGGAATTAGGGTATCTTTAATGCAGTTTGGGAGCCAGTATTTTTTCTGTTATTAGGATTACTGATAGAAAAGCAAAATACACATATCATTTAATTCATTTGATGGTCAATGAATATGTACGAATTTTGAAAACAAAAAAAATCCTAGCTTTAGGTTTTTCTTTTTTTACAAAGTGTTCCAAGTTTTAAATTTTTTTTACTGAATACGACTGGATATGTAAAAAATTATTTTTACTATTGCCCTAGCTGGGCCTTCACATGTGCTTGGTTATCTGATCCTTGTCGACTTATTAATTTTCGTTATGGTTGATCGTAGCCCTCGTACAAACGAAGGCATAGATAACCGAGAGAGAGGAGAGTACAATCTGTGTTACTAGCTCATATGCAAAGGCACATGCAACCAAATGAGGAGAGGCGACCAGCGTTGTCAACCCATGGACAAAAGGCATAAACAATCTCCGAGGGGGGTTGAACATGTAGAGATGGAAGTGACCAAGGGATGGAAGGAGAGTGACGAACATTACTTACTAGCCCGTGCGTAGATACATATACGACTAGATGAGGGGAGGGTGGCAGCCAACAAGGACAATAATTGGTCACGATAGATTAATGAGAGCTAACGAGTGAGGCTACCAAGCATAGAGTAACTAGGCACAAGACGTAGTAAGGTGATCGATGGGTAGATGAGTGACAAGATGTGAGCAAAAGCACAACGAAGGATATTTTTATTAAAATATAAAAATAAAAATAGTAATTTATGAAAAAAGGGTGCTTTTTAAAAAAATTTAAGAGAAAACCCCAAAGTTGAGTTTTTTTTTTTTTTTGAAAATTCACCCAATGAAGATTAGTTGTATTTTTATTTATTCTCAAATATTTTTAACCCATAAAAAGTTTTATTTAAGCCCCCAATTTGAACTATAAATAGGCGGAACCGCTTCCTCCTTTTCCCCGATCAAGACAAGGAGCAAAAGCAGGGGAAAGAGAGGTCTCCTCCTCCCGCGGTAGTCCGCCATCGAAGCCCTCACCAAAACCTCAATTGAAATCTTAGATTCGCCCGCGAAGGCGATGCAGCACGGCAGCAGAGAAGTGCGAGGAGGTATGGCAGCCTCCGCCTCCGCCCAGATGGCTCTCCACGACGACCACGGCTCGCAGCAGATCCAAAACCCCGGCTTGCACGATGACTTCTTCGATCAGATGCTGTCGGGCCTCCCCTCCGCTTGGCCCGACCTCGGGAACCCCAAGTCCCCCTGGGACGCCTCCGCTGCGCAGAAGCTCTTCCGGATCGACCTCGCCGGGAAGCAGCCGGACGAGTCGCAGCCGGAGGCCGCCGCGGAGGGGCTGCGCTACGCTTCTTACGAGGAGGCGACGATGCTGGCGTCTCGGCTCTCGCAGAGCCAGGGTAGCGGCGGGAGCTCGCCGACGGGGGAGGCGATGATGCTCCAGCTTAACAACCACCACATCCTCCCGGCGGTGGGGCGGTCACAGACGGCCGTCGGGGGCAGTGTCGGAGAATCGGGCCTTCTTCCCCTGCCTCTGACTCTCGGCAGCGGCGGTGCGGCGGATCCTCGCATCATCGTGGAAACACCTCGAGACGAAATGGACCGTCCTTACAAATCCCCAGATCACAACGTAAGCTTCTTCCGATTGCTCTCTCGACCGAAATGTAGTCTTTCCTACTAAAAAACCCCATCTTGTTCCCATTCTAAGGGGGGCGAAGAGCTCTACAACGGGCTCGGGGGATCGATTCGCGCGGCTCAAGCGGCAACCGGGCAGCACTTCCATCATCCCCAGGTTAATCTAAAACCCTAACATTGTCACAAATTTCCACCAAAAGTCTGGTTTTTCTTTTCCTTTTCACAACAATGAAAAGCTGAACCAGCAGCAGGGCGCATCAATGTCATCGCAGAGCTACGGCGGAGCAGCGGCGCCGGCTGGAGTTGGGCAGGGCCCCGCGGCATCAGCGTCGTCCGGCGGTGGCACACCGCCACAGAAGCAGAAGGTGAGGGCGCGGAGAGGGCAAGCCACGGATCCCCACAGCATCGCCGAAAGAGTATGGCTTTATTTTCCGGTTCCTTCTTTTTCCGTCTACTGATTAATTCTCCGCTGTGGATTCATCTTGTTGTAGTCTCTTCTTTTCTTGTGTGTTCTTTGCTGGGGTTACCCGTATGATGTCTCTTCTGTATGCCTGTGTGCAGCTTCGCAGGGAGAGGATCGCAGAGAGGATGAAGGCACTGCAAGAATTGGTGCCCAACGCTAATAAGGTGGTTCTCTTTCTCTCATCTGTCTCAGTATGCAGAGATGATGTGCGTCTACTGATTCCATATATTCTGATGAACTGTGTGTCACCTTAAAAATATCGAATCTGCGGCATCATATTAATATATATAGATAGCAATGTGGAGAGCACTAAGAGATAAAATAATGTTGTGTGGGAACAAAGACTAACGGGTTAATTGGAATGGGAAGCACCAAACGTGTGGAGGAAATAATTTAACACTTTTGCCATCGTATTGCGGCGGTCGTTAACATTGTGTTCGTTGGCAATGGCAGACGGATAAGGCTTCGATGCTGGATGAGATCATCGACTACGTTAAATTTCTGCAGCTCCAAGTCAAAGTAAAAATCTCTGCCTCTTACTTCTCTCACTCTCTCTCTCTTAATTTATGTTAATTATCATTAGACTAACAGAGTAGATTACATTATCCTCCCTCTTATTTTGCCTAATGATGTTACTTTGGACTACAACATATTTGGGTGCAAGACATTACTCTCTCTCTCTCTCTCTCTCTCTCTCTCTCTCTTGACTATGTACGTGTAATTATGTATCAGGTTCTGAGCATGAGCCGGTTAGGCGGAGCAGCGGCGGTCGCCCCTCTCGTTGCTGATATATCCACTGAGGTAACTCTCTCTTTCTCTCACTGATGTATAAAGGTTGAAAGAATGCGTGTATTGATGGCCATGTTCATGTGCATGCAGGGTCCGGGAGGACGTGCAGGAGCCAACGGCGCGGCGGCGGGTAACAACGACAGCCTGACGGTGACGGAGCACCGGGTGGCAAAGATGATGGAGGAGGACATGGGCTCGGCGATGCAGTACCTCCAGGGCAAGGGCCTCTGCCTCATGCCCATCTCCCTCGCCTCCGCCATCTCATCCGCCGCCTGCCGCCCATCCGCCGGTGGCCTGGTCCCGGCCCCACCTCCTGCCACCACCAGCGCCGCGGCCGCCGCCGAGTCCCCGTCGTCGCCCAGCGCGTCGGCGCTGACGGTGCAATCCGCCGCGGCCGACACGACCGCTCCGAAGCGGTGACGAAGTCTTTTGCTTTTGACGTGGAAATGCGTCGAGCGAACAGTCTAATAAAGTAGTAAATCCCACAAGCTTTCTGCTATTATGCTCATCTTTTGTATCGTGTGCATCAGCTGCTTTCGCCCTTTTGTTGTTTCCTCCATCGTATCGAGTCCAGTTTTCAGATGAATAAAATGTGTTCTTCCAAATGTAGATGTGAATTTAATCGGGTAGACAAAATAATAGCATTGGTGCAATAATACTACTACACGACTAATAAATCGTGATGCCTTCATTAAATGTAATATTTGTATAAATAAATAAATATTGTTAATAAACTCTATGCAAGAAAGATGATGATATCTTTAAAGATCAAGTGAACAAAAAAAAGAAAAAACAGTATTTTTATTATTATTTTTAATAGTTTCCTACATCTTTTATCTCTTTTTACACCATTATTACTAATTTACTTGTCTCATTTAACTATAGTATTTATAAATTTAATTCAAAAAATATTTATAAGTCTTTCTTAATGTAATCTTATTATAGAGCTACAGTTAATTATTTATGATTAGAAATATATATTTGTAAACATATATTTTGTCGATATTTCTTCATTTTCTTATCTTTGATTGTCTCATTATTTCTTTATGACTAGACTAAACTCCGATCTAGCAAGGCACAAGTTGTTACATCTTAAGAACTAAGATGTGCCCTTCAAAAAAAAAAGGAAAAGAAGAAAAAAAAAAAAAAAGGATGTCTCCTCACGAGACAGTTCCTTCGTGACGTTTTGTGTTGGTTGGTAGGAACGAAGTTGAGAAGATAATAAAACAAAGATGAGAGGGCCTTCTTCCATGGTAGAGGATCGTGTTAACAGAATTAGATGGGTAGCTAATAAGAGGCGAATGAGACGATGTGCAGCCCACGAGGAGGGCTGTGATGATATGATTCCCTTTGTTCCCACGTCTTTGCCTCGTTTTTATTTCTTACTCAGCACTGTCTCCGTCAGATGAAATGGAGAATTTGACCCCCTTCACTCCCCTTTCTTTAATCCGTGGGATGGAGGTGAAGGCCTCAGAGCCGATTCTTTCGTCTTTTCTTCGTTTCATCAAGTGGGTTCAAAGGCCTCACGATGACGGAGGCAATAGAGGCTGTTAACAGGAGAGAAAGATGCAGATGACATGCATGACGACACAAAAAAGCAAGGGACTGAGGAATGGACAAGGAAAGAGAAACGACGAGTGAGGAAGAGAAACTGCATAGAGACAACAAAACTTCATAAAGACGATGGGCACGACAACCAAACAACACCGACCGACGGGACAAAAGCACCGAGCAAGAAAGAGAAGGGACGAACATTTACATGATTAACTGAGAAAAACAAAACATGAGACGCTACGCTATATGAAAAACAAAAACCAAAAAAAGAGAGAAATCACACCCCCTTTTTTTTCATACACATATGGCCCTATAAAATATGCAAAAATGAACATCACTAATTAATGTTAATTAGTGCATTATAGGATTGTAATTAACAGTCAAGACTTATTAAATTCAACTACTCTTGGTATTAGTATTAACCGTCAGCATTACACGATTATAATTCAAGGAGCAGTAATAATGTAAAGAATCTGGATTTTAGAGATGCAATTACACACTTTGAAGAGGCATCAATTTGACAGGGGCACATATGCAAGAAAAACCTTTAAACCAAGCAAAGAGCCCTTTCTCTAATAATGCGATCTTTTATATTGCAAACCTTCACGGTTGGACCTGAAAATATTAATCTTTTACCACAAGATCGAGATGCGATTGACCAACAACGATAAGAGGAAATAGAATAAGCAATGAACTAACTAGCTAATACCAAAAACGGAACTCACTACTACAACATGGAGAAGATGGCTTTATCAAGTAACTTGTACATTCTTGAATAATTGTTTTAGCTCAAGCCGTGTAATTAGCATCTCATTGGAGATGGCATGCGATTCGTCGATCCCTCCCGTGTTTCCATCTGGACTCTGTGACTTGATAAGTAGACTTCCTGACTTGATAGTGGCCTGGAAACAGATGGTCGATGCAAGATGTTACAATTCAATCTACAAAGGTTTTATAATGAAGATACTAAAGATGAAAGTGAACACTTGTGCCACATAAAAGACCAATGTGATGTTGTGTCACCTACTGCAAAGAGAGCAAACCTCAAGTGCGGCAGTAGGGGCACAGGAGACAGGCCACACTGCAACCATCATTGAATAATAATCAGTTATTTAAAAAACACTAGGCGCCGAGGTCCCAAAACACCCGCAGCACTCGCCCGAGCGAAGTGGGATGCTCTGAAATATTAAAATATTAAAATATTAAAATATATAATATAATTAAAAATATAATGATATTAAATTAAAAATATACTGTTAACAGTATATTACTAAAGTTAGAGGAGAAGAAAAAAATATTCTCTGAAATATTAAAATATAAAAAAAAATATAATATAATTAAAAATATAATTATTTAAATTAAAATATGATATTAAATTAAAAATATACTGTTAACAATATATTACTTAAAGTTAGAGGGGGGAGAAAAAAATATTAACAATAACAGAGGGAGATAGTAGCGGCGAAGAAGGATTAGTTTAAGATGGTTGTCGTAGGGCTGCGAACGATAGCAGCGACAACGGAGGAAGCTGTGGATAGCAACAACGACAACAAGAGAAGCAACAAATAGTAGTAGTGACAGTGGCGGAACAGCAGCGTCAACGGCGAAAGCTGCGGACAACAACAGCGGTAGTGACGGAAGCTCCAGAGGGTGTCCTAGCGGAGGAACCTGCGGGCCACTCCCTCGACAGTGGAAGGAAGCGACAGTAGAAGGAAGCTACGGGTGCCGTCGGACTCGTCCGTCGACAACAAAGGAAGGTATAGTCCGCTGCATCTGCGAAGAAGGCAACAGTAGAACGTGTCGGCGACGGAGGCAGAAGCAACGCTAGGGTTTCTCGGGGTTGCACGAGCGTGAAGCGTAGCTTTTGAGGTAAGAAACTATGAACCGAACCGGTAAGGCTGGTTCAGTTTGCCTAATTGAATCGGGCGCTTGTCTGAAGCGCCCAGCGCCTACGTTCGGGCGAGCACCCAGGCGACGCCTCATTGAAGTGCGCTACCTGTTGCACACCCGAGGCGCTCGGGCCTCGCCTCACCTTTCCCGAGCGCTTAGGCAAGCGCCCGAGAGCCTATTTAAATCACTGATAATAAAACAATCAAATCTGTATATAACTTGTACCGAAGCTAGTAATGTGAAGCAAGTTCTGTCTTGCGGGCTATAAACAACAATAGCCTGATGAAATAAATACCTTTGGGTGTTTTCTTGTCTTGGAACTGAAAAATAGTGAACTAACAACATCATTGATAAATGGCATTCGATCACTATGAGGCAGACGAAATAGAAAGATCACACAAGCAAGAGAAAGGAACTTGATTCATTACATGACCTTGAACCCTGTAGTCTCTCGCTCTCTCTACAACCATAGTAATATCGTCTAATCCTAATTTTGGTAGTAAATTTGCCCAATTTGATACCAAGTAGGTATAACTGCTTAGAAATGCAAGCTTGGGGGAAAAGATTTCACTAGTCAAACAAAGAAAAGAGGTTACATACAAGGCCGAAAGAGGAGGGGGAGGGGGAGACAATGATGAAGAGAGTAATCTTCACACTTCACTATTTTATTGGAATAAAATAAAATGAAACACAAGCATGCATTCTGATCACAGACAACTAATGATACAATGATTAGAAGAAAAAAGGCAAGTGGTCCTGAAAAGGAAACTTGTATACCTTGACTTCAGATAAGAGAATTTACAGCACGAAAATTTTTAGTCTTCAGATAAAGAAAATTTATGTATCACACCTGTAAAAGAATCAGTTGTTGACCCAAACAATAATTTAAAATCTTGCTAAACTTGTTCTAAGTTTCCTACATGCTTTCCTTTATTCAATTTTGTATTGGTGAAGCAGTTTCCTAGCTTTTACCAACTGTAAAATACATGTCAAAATCCTTCCTTCTGTTAGTCATTTTCTTTTGCACTGTGTATAAATATGCCAACATTTAACATTGTCACTTTTTTATATTTTGAGGGTTATTGCTTGCAGGTCATGGATTTTGTTTGGTAATTCTTCAGTTCTGAAATATTTTGCAGTTTTGTAGTTACGTCAATTACAGACTACAAGTAACATTTGACTCATTAATATAGCTAGTGGACTTGCATATTCATCGAAGATAACAATTTTAGAAATAAGACCAGACATCAAACATTAAAGGTTTTTTTTTTTCCATTGAGAAGGAATTGTAAACCTGAGCATGAAATTGTGGACACTTCAAGGAGAATAAAGGATTACTTATTAAAAAAATCAAACTCACCAGAAGAGCAGACTATCAAACAACCATGATATTAGTTGGGATTATCAGACAAATCTCATAAGGGATCTCCACCTTGAAAATACATCATTCCTTCATTTCTTCTGCACTATCTTTCTCTTACTTGCTCTAACCGACTTGAAACTGATTCTTGATTTTCTTGCTGTCCATGATTGTTCATGCTCTTTCAGCTTCTCCAGAGCTTTTTTGTATGACAATGAAGACATTAAGTTTTAAGTGCAATCATCAGTAACATTAATGTACAGATGATGGTGGGTAAATGAGTCTTACCAGAAGAATAAAGAGGACGAAGGCTTTCTACAGAGTCGGTAGGTAAAGAGTGGATAATACAGGAATTATTGTCAGCCTTCTCAAGCAACTTGTTGAAGCGCTTAACCTGAAACATAACAAACAGAAAGTGTAAACAACAGTTATGCGAAACGATATCTGCAGCAAAAGAATATTTGCATGAACATAACAAGGCAAAAGTGAAACAGAAGTTTCAGGCTTCAGACTAAGAAACATAATTTTCCGCCAAGAAGTATGGTTTCTATACACTTGAGTTCAGCATCATGGCACAAGTGAGTTCTGGATGATGAATCTCATGCTTTACTAGTTTGCAACAGAACTCAGTATTTAAAGGAATCAATGTTAGCACATATTCCTTCCACCATCAGACATATCCAAACCCAATGAAAGATTGCTTTGCAGTTTGACATTAGCATTCTAGGGGTAATCTTCATTCCTCCCACTATCATATATAAGCTCACCCACTGAAAGGTTTACAGTTTGTCATTAGCAATCTGATCAACATAAACGATTTGATATATAAATTTAATGGATCATAGTTTAATCCATTAGCACAGCCTTATAGGAAGTAAAAAATCATCGTAAATCATTTCTTATGTTCACTCGAATCTCTTAACAAATAAAAGAAATTTATCACTATTCCACAAGATTTTTATATCACAGTTTAATCCATCAAGCAAACCAGATAAGAGACTAAAATCATGGAAAACCATTTTCTATGTTCACTTGGCTTCCTCACTGGACAGACATAAGCATTCATTAGCTAATTAGTGCCCAATGACATTGGTATGAATTTCTATTATCATAGCAAAAGCAACTTGATTGATCGACATTAAGAGTCAGCAACTGATGTTCCATATACAAGTCAAACGATGCAAACAACGTTCAGTAAGAGATACAACAAAGCCACAAAAAAATTTAATTCATGTGAAAACCAGAAAATTAAAATTTTCTTACATGATAGGTTATTTTTATGAGTAGAGTACATTGCACTGCAGTTGTTGTCAACGTAAAATCAAATGTTTCACTGATACAGGAAAAAACTGGTGGCCTATCAATTTCTTTTTGACAGATTGCTACTAAATAACAACTCATATAGCAAATACTTATAAAAATTAATCAAAGAAGTTTGACGTGTGGTCAAAAGATCTCATTACCTCATCTTTTCTCATTAATGTAAAGCAACGGCCAGATTGACCTGCCCTTGCAGTGCGACCTGCTCGATGAATATATGTCTTAACAAAAGCTGGCATATCATAATTTATGACATTTCTAATTCCTTCAACATCCATTCCTCGTGTCATTGCATCTGTTGCAATGAGCACTTGTGTTTTTCCTTCCCTGAAGGCCTTCAGTTTCTTGCTGCAATACAGACATTCTCCATCACTAATGACAAATAGCACAGTTTGGCAGAAGTGCCAAAATATATATAATGCAGTTACAACTTACAACAGTGAATCTGTTGTAAGTTTTCTAATGAGACTGAGCTACACAAGAAGATTACAAGTGCACAGATGGACCTTACAAACTGAGGATCTGATTCTTTGGTTTGTGGTTTTAAGAGACCAGACAAACTCAACCAACTGCTACAGTCATTTATTATCAGAATATAATCCATCCTCACACAGATTAGTGTTCTGTCATTTTTCATATTTAAAAAATGTAAATATTGCCTTATCACTGAACCAAAGCACAATATGTGCACCTCTGATTAAGATAAGGTGAACATTTGTCCATTTCTAGCATGAAATTAGTAAATATGCAAATGACCTTCTTTCAAAAGTTAATTATGTACAGCTGTGATATATGTTACCATGTCCAAGTTGAAAATCAAGGAATCTTAACCTGGAAACTGATATAGGTGATTTACCTTCGTACAGGCTGACACTGACGACGTGAATATTCACTGATTTTAAATGGTAATTCACCAAAGAATTTTAGTAATGTGCTTAGCCTGTGAGTTGACTCGACTGATGATGTAAAAACTATTGACTTCTCCGCTCCCAAAGTTTGCAGAAGAGCAACCAAGTAGAGTGGCTTCAGTTTTGATCTGCAAACCTGCATATATTCACACCCCAAGTAAGAAAGGATAAGGCAGGTCCATTTATCAAAGAAATGCTTATCCAGCAATAACTACATTTAATAGTTAGATGGCTGTTTTCTTCTTTTAATATATATCCAATGCTTGTGAGAAATGTTTTCAATCTTAAAGGTAGGAAAAATTAATTTCGTGGTAGAACAATATGTATATAAATCAAAGAATGTCAGCTGTGACATAATTCTATTTTTTTCATAGGTAACCTAGTTGCATGTTCAAAGACTTGATCTATCTAGTCATAAATCTTTGCAAAGTAAATACCAGTTTAAACGATTCCAGTCTTTTAGGTAGTTTGTAGCGCTTATCACCACTTGTCAGCAATAAAGGATGATGTAAATCGAGTTGAGAAATCTTGCTAGGATCTTGAGTCAGTGTAGCAGATAGAATCATCTTTACAAACCTTGGGTAAACTTTACCTTTAAAACCCTTTTCAACACCACTGCACAAAAGCAAGCCAGAATGTAGCAAGAAACATTTGACAAAATCTTTGAAGACTGAAAATAATATACATTGAAGGAAGCACCAGGGATATCTAAGCTCATAAAGGTGATATAATAGAGCTGAAATCAGGTTGGTGAATAATACATAAAGTATAACAAAGAAAGAGATAGAATTACCATCTTCTAATAGTGGTCAATGAACCAGGAATAACATGAATGCTCGTTGCATGACATGTTTGATCATTTGACTGAGTAAGCTGAATCACATTTGGCAACCAGGACTGATATGCCTCTCTAAGCAATCTATCTGTTTCATCAACTACCTGAAAGTACCAGGCGGTTAAATGCTCAGTAGAAACTGCTTGTAAAAGAAAGTTATAAAACTACTGAGATTTCTTCTAAAGATTAGTTTGAAAAATGTAATTCAACTTACTGGATAATCATGCAAACTGAAGTTGCATTAGACCAATAAAGAAATAAGATAGGGTGACAAGAAACAGGAATGTATCCTGTCTATCAATTTACTGATTTCGCAAAAAATATTTACATACTTTGAGAGAAAGCAACAATTTCTACAGTACACTCATAGTGGATAATCCAGATGACATTCTGAGCCATAAGCTTCCAGATAATATAACTCAGAAAAGGTACTGACAGTTCAAAATCAGAGTGTATGCTAAAGAAAGAAGTGTGGAAGAAGAAACAAGTCTGTACAAAATAGGTTTAACATAAATTGTCACCACTCAGTGATATCAACTAAGGATACCTTGATGCTTATTTATAAAAATCAATTGGGAAATAAGGACTTAAATTCAAGCTTATCATGAAGTTGACTTGAATTAGAACATCTCATTGATTCCTGAGGATACTAGTGAGTGAATTAGCTTGAAGAACAAGTGTAGGCCACATTTCTAACTATTATTTGGAGAAACCTAGATATATCAGGAAACATTGTAAGAACCCACTTACTAGGAGATGGTAATAGTAAATGTAACAGTCAAAGAGAATGTTATCCAAATATATATTTGTTCATTTACCAGATAACATAGATGTTCCAGACTAAAACCCTTTGTCATGTTAATATGATCCATTAGCCTTCCTGGAGTAGCCACCAATATGTCGACTGCAGTCTGTAGCTCCATGTATACATCTTCTGGATCAAAAGGGGAACATGATCCAAGCTTAGGTCTCTCAATGAGCTCCGAAATTTCATCTGCAATTGATGACTGCCCAACTGCTAAGCCAACACGTAAACCCACAGCAGGTGCAATGGCAGAAAACACCTCTTTAACCTGAACCATAAGATACTTAAATTTATAAATGAACCAAATTATGTGGCAAAGATAACTGAATTCTGTAAATGTTTAAAATATATGCTGAACTAAACAAAATAGTCAAACGCTATGGATTAGCAATCTACCAAATCAACCAATTGAACAACCACTCTTATCAAAAGTTTGGATAGATGTACTGAATGATTCGAGTAAACAGTAGCAATTCATTTTTTCCCAAAACAGATAAGATAACATATGCTTGCCTCATGGACTATCTGTTAGTAATGCCCGAGACCTATTAAGCAATTCCCAAGACCCTAATTATATGCTGATCATCCTGAAAAATTCAACAGTTTATTTTCAATATGCTGGCCACCACAGATTTATATATTATGCCTTCGAAATCTTTGCACTATAATTTAGAAAAGTACAACATTAAGCTAATGTCCTCTTTCTAAGAAATTAAATAACCCTACAAATCACATAATCAGCTCAAATCCAGTCTACACTACCAAATTGATTTGGGCTGAGCGGCTTCTATAGATTGTGAGATTGGATATAGATCCACAGTTCCAATATAAAAACAATATGAGACAATTATTATACAGCAAAAAAGAATTAATCTATGTTAGCACAACAATAAAATATTCAATGGCTTAGATGTCTATCTGGTAATCCATCATCTAGTGGCAATGGGGAGCTTCAGTGTTAGAAAAAGGAAGCATGCCATATCATATCTGCCTAGACACAGCAGGATATAAAACAATTTAAATTATATCCCTAAATGCCTTCTAGTGTAGTTAGAACTCATTTGCAAGGAATTTTTCATGGATAATACATTTTAGCAGCAAAATGCTATTATAATTTGGCTGTCATCTCCCAGAACCTCCAGCAGTTTCTCTAAACTTTGAAATGATTTATGAATATAAAATACTATACTATAAACCAGAAAGTAATCAATACATATGTTAGACAATTGTTCCTCATAAAGAACAAATAATTGGCAGAGAGATATCAAACTCAGCTACTGAAGAGTTACCATCAGCCAAACCACTAGATACAATTACGGACGATATCAAAGCTATTTGGTCATTTTCTTTTAATCGATACCCATTACATCAAAAGGGTAAAGAAGTTCTTAGAAATGTATCCTAGCCCCTCTTATTCTCTTTTAGATTAAAATATTAAAACATATCATAAAATTTGAAAAAGTGCATACACATGCATACCTGCAATTATGTGCTTATGTTACACAGATATGCAAGCATGCATACTTCAAATAAACTTATGCACATTTATTAAGCTTTATCAATAGTTTTGTGCATAATTGGAAAGATATGGTACACATTTTTTCATGAATATTGGAGAAGATAATGTTAGCTTAAACTTCATTTCATATTAAATATTTTTCTGCATTGTTAATATTTTTTAAACAATGGAGACATGTTATTATTGTGTTGATGTCATAATCCACCCACTACAGAATTTGTGATGTACAAGCAGGAAAACTTGAGCTGTCTAATCAAGATCCAGCAAGATTCCCCACATCTTATGCAGTAGAGCATCACTGCCATCTGAAATATGATACATACAGCAATTGTGAATAGGAATGGCAGCAGGTCAAGTTTTTCTGGCACCTGCACCTACACAACCTGTTAAAGCTAGATTTGGTATCTGCTAATTGGACTTGGGACGGCTAAAGTAGAGAACAGGTATTCGAGTCGGATTCAAGATGAGTTTGGGCACTGGAGTAGTTACTTGGGTTTGGGAACTAGTGAAAATTGGCAGGTATATATCGTCACTGTTCCCAAATGGCAAAGGACCAAGCTTTTCTTTGGGGGGATGGGGAGGGAAGTGAGGGGGTACCACATGCCTATCCAACTTGTCTATGCTCGATTAAGACACCCATTAATCAGGTTTGGAAAGGATACAGCTACAAGAAATAGGTATCAGAGAGGTTTGAGTGACCCAGATAAATAGTTAGATTCAGGAATATGAAGGCAGCAATTGTGCAAATAGCACTCGCTTATTTCTGGCAGAACATTAACCTGTCTAAATATCTGGTCCCCATAATAGGGAAGACTATAGCACAGTTTATGCGATTTTTTATGCCCAAAAATATGAAAGAAGACCATATTATACTTTGTTTGCGTACAAGAACCTTGAGTATTGTGATTTTCCCTATAAACTGCAAACACCAAACTCTTGGAATTACTTAAAACATAGGATGCCATGATCTCTCCAGGACTTGAGAACCTGTCCCTTGTATCGATTCAATTTATAGCATCAACTAAAGAGCAAATAGTCAATAGAAGAATGGCACCAAAAAAGCATTTCAAAATTGAATTAAAAAAATAATTCATCACAAACCTGTAAGGCCAAGTCCCGAGTAGGTAAAACTACCAAAGCACGCAAACATCTAATCTTCCTATGCGCAAGCATTTGTACAATTGGTAAAGCATAAGCAAGTGTCTTGCCACTCCCTGTCGGAGAGTTTACACAAATGTCTCGCTCAAATGCACCAGGTCCAATTGTTTCCTGCCAAACTGCTACTTGGACAGGAAAAAGTGACTGTATACCCATTTTCTGCAAAGCCTCCTTCAATCTAGGAGGAGAAAAATAAATATTCATGCATAATGAAATATCAAACACAAAATTTGTTTTGTTAAGTCATGTAAACAAATTTAGTTTAAGCATTAATCAAGACACCGATGGTCTCTTGCACACTATACTCAACAAATTTAGAAGAAATCTTATGGCACGCCATAAAGAATCAGTAGGAACTCTTTAAGCATAGAAATATTTATGGATCTGTTGTATCCACATATGCACAAAAATCTCAAGTGTCTATTGTTTCATGGTACGTAATACAAACATAAAATTAAAGATATTTGGGCAAAGAGAATCGTGCACTATGCTCATTAATCAATTTGTGTTAATGATCCTATCATAAATTAAGGCTCAGCAACGGAATCCCATTATGGGTAACAAAATTTTGTCGATCCTTAGGTTAACCTGTGTGCACTGCAATCCATGGCATCCAGGAAATGGCATGTTAGTCACATTGGTAAGAAGTAAACATAACTTTGAGGTAATGAGTAAGGATCCATTGTTCCCAAGTCAAATTCCTTCTTTAAATTAAAATTTGCGAGCTCCACAGGCCGTAGGGAACTACTTCTTGCATAGGCCAACACCAGTGATGTCATTTTTTGGAACCCAACCTTACACATCACAAGCTACCACAACTTGAGGGTCCGTTGTGGTACAAATGGGAAATGACTTAAAGATCCCATGTTGATGGAGCATTAAAGAAATTTATAATTTGTAAGCAAGGATCCACCTTTCCCCCTGCCTAAATTTGATTTCTTTTCAAGAATGAAACTATGATCCAAGTGAACAATAGCTCACATGTAACGCAATGCAAATCCTCGGCCACATCAGACATCAATATGCTTTAACATACAATCAGCATCATTTACCGCTTGCTCGATATTTATTGGACTCCACTTTATTAAGTTAATGGTGAGGTCATGAACATAGTTTTATATCATCTATCAGATCATGAACTTCGTTTCAATATTTTGCAAAGACTACTGTGGGCATGTTATAATGTCTGTTTTACACTTTCTTTAATATCCTTATTTATTCAAAGAGTTTTAACTGTTAATTCAACTTTTGTGTTCAATGAACGAGTTCACTTGCTCACATTATTGATCCACTTAAGAGTGGGATAACTTCCAAGATCAGAAACAGATTAAAACCAATAACATATCTGCTTAAAGGGATTGACAGCGCACACATACTGTTTTCTTTCATGCGGTTGAATTCAGTGTCGATCCCAAATCAAAGTAGGATTCTCTTCTCCAATTTCAGTTGTAGTTCTCATCATCTTAATCTCTTAGATCACTACCCTCGGCTGTATTATGCTTCTATATCTCAAAATTGTTGAAAGTGCTTCATGACATGCACTACGCCAACTTCAGAAGAGCAGCTAAGTTCCTCATGAAATGGCCTCGAGACTGTCGTAGCTATTTTGTAGGGACGAAGCAAACAATGTACCGAAACTATAGCAGCAGGAGATACGAGAGAGCACGAACCTTGGATCAAGGGATGGGAGGAAACCGAGAGGGCGCTCCTCGAATTGGTCGATGTCAACGGGGTTTCTCATCCACGGTAGGTGGGGAACACGCTTCACCTTCTGCGAGTCGTCCCCCATCTCCTGCCTCCTTCCTCCTGCTCCCTTAGAAGAAACACCGGAGAAGACGGAGAGATACGAACGAAAGGCAGCGAGCGGCGGAGGAGGTGAAACCGAGAGGCGAGGGTTTTGTGGGGGATGGTGGAGGTCGTGGGAAAGGAGAAACGGCGGTTTGTTACTTTTATCGGATCGGGTTCCGTCGGATCTAAATTTGAACCCACTACACGCACCATATTTGGCCACTTGTGGGCCATTGTTGTTCCGATCCCAAGGCGGGTAAGTGAAATGGGTAAGCATCAGACAGACAGGTAGGAAATTTGTTTGGTTTTTATTTATTGGGCATCTTTTTATCTTATTTTAAGGGAATAAATTGTTTATTAAAAATATTTTCAAAAGAAAAAAATATTTTTATTAAAAATATTTTCAAAAGAAAAAAATATTTTTATTAAAAATATTTTCAAATAAAAAAATATTTTATTCAAAAAATATTTTCAAAATAAAAAAAAAGTGCGGGTTGGTATGTATAACGTTAACCGACAGAAACTGTTGTGCTTATCATCATCGAGATGAGCAGATTGGGTTTCGCTTTCTCGATCTTTCTTCTTGCTAATCGTTTCATTGTGTTTAACCAATTATTATTATTGTTGTTCTTATTGTTTTGGCATAAATGTTTTATAGGATTTTTACCGTGACGTGATGTTGGTGAAAACTAAAACATGACCTTTCATAATGATCTAGAAAACCTTTTTTTCTATCAGTACGGTATTGTATTGGAGTTGAGATGGATTCTGTAAACTTGATGAGAGCAGAATCTCCATTTCAGCCACCTTAACTTGCATTCCTTCCTGAGGAAAAAGAAGGAACCACTCGAGCCTATATATGTACTGATCAAAGCCTCTCTCGTCTCTTCCAGCAAAACAGTAGCTAAATGACTGCATCCTAATTCTCAGTCATCATTCAAATTTCAAAGTCTGGGGAAGGTCAATCATGAAAGATAAATCATTCTAAAAGCATGCCTCCATCGACTCAACATGCATCAGAATTCAACGTTCCGCGTTACACTGGTCTTCCACGTGAATGCACCACTGCACAGCTTCGTTTACCAGTCATGCAGTAGTTGGTGATAGAAATAATAGAAGATAAGAACAATATAATATAAGAAGCTTTATTGAAGTAGATAAACTTTAGCTTGAATACATTAACATGTTCCTCTCCTATTTATAGGATTAAGAGGAATGATTTTCCTCAACAGAATAGAGGATTTTCCTCAACAGAATAGATAAGATTTCCTTACATAGTGGGGAAATCTTATCTTCTATCATGCCCCCGCAAGATGGTGCTCCTGACAAGGATACCAATCTTGGATCGGTAAGAAAGAGGCTTCGTGAGTAAGATAAGTGTAGATCGCTGCTGCTGTTGCTGCGATTGCTGTTGCTGTGATGGCACAAGCGTTCCCTTCATTCTCCTTAAGTCTGTCGAATGTTGACAGATCAGCGAAGACTACCGCGGTGAGGAAGATGAGGATTGACCACGGAGCCTCTTAGGAATACAACAGCGTTGGTCGCTGGCCGAAGGGTGAAGCTTCACTTTTCTCAGCGACATTGGTCGCTTGCCGAAGGCAAGAGCGAAGCTTCGCTTTTCTCAACGACGTTGGTCGTGGTTGCGATTACGACGGCTGCGACGGTAGAGAAGAAATCTACAACAATGTTGCAGTGATGCTACTACAGCAAAGGAGGAAACTGCAACAGAGGAGGAAGCTGTAGTAGAAGAGGAAACTGTAGCAAAAGAGAAAGGAAAATAGCTACAACGACGAAGAAAGGTGGGGCAGTGCTCATGAGCAGCACTAGAGATGCCGTAGCGGAAGGGAACGGACGTTGGCGCAGAGTGGCAACACCAATGATGAATTGGCAGCGAGAAGAGAGCTTGCTCTAGGCAAGCGGCTCTGATACCATGATAGAAATAATAGAAGATAAGAACAATATAATATAAGAAGCTTTATTGAAGTAGATAAACTTTAGCTTGAATACAATAACATGTTCCTCTCCTATTTATAGGATTAAGAGGAATGATTTTCCTCAACAGAATAGAGGATTTTCCTCAACAGAATAGATAAGATTTCCTTATATAGTGGGGAAATCTTATCTTCTATCAGTTGGCAAGTCCTCGGTTCAGTTCACCATTCCTCTCTCTCTCTCTCTCTGAGAAGGTATCTTGATCATCAGCATAGATTCGTTCTGCGGAGATGACCTGAGAAGGTAAATTTGTACAAGTTAGTAGCGTGAAAGGTCGAATCTTCCGTATGTTATGAGCTCTTGATCTGCTCTTAGCATGTGCCAGAGTACGCAGGTTGATTTCAAGAAAGATTGCAGGCGAATCCCCCTGTAACCTCGAACGTAATCCAGGCAGGTTTGCAGACTCAAGAGGCCCGCCCACAGATGCCGCAAACGACCGTGGAACATGTCACCCTTTGAATCAATATCTGGAACTCAACAGTAGGGAGACTGCCGAGTCCTGCGTGGGATGCGCAGCAGGCGGCATCGGAGAAGAAAGGGACGAGGCATCGGCCGGTCCGTCCCGCCTCACGCGGGACTGCTCACCTGACAAAACTGTGGGCTTTGGATCCTTATGTTCTTGCTGTCAGAAGAGAGGGGCCCCCCGTCCTGTCTCTCTCTCACGCTGCAGTAGGAGAAGTAGGAAATGAACAAGACGATGACGTATTGGAAAACGCTACGCAACAAAAGGGCTTCAGCGCTGCACATGCACTGTCGCCAACCTCTCTTCCTCCCTACCCTCATGCAGGGCATGCACGCTTCAGATATTAGGGATTCGTTACAAGAAGAATGGACGGAGTGAGTGAAAGGGAAGCTGAGGTTTTGCACCGAGAAATATAGAAGATGGAGATGAGTTGTACCTCACTTAACACTCTTCTCATTTGTCATCTCCTATCAGGATCGTTTAGGTTTGGATTCCTTCTTCTAATCTTTCTCAGACAATAAAAGAAGAAAGACGAAGGGAATATTCCCTCCTGCTCACCTTTTTCTAATTCTCAATAAACCTTATGTTCCAAGGCACCATTGTCAGTCACACACACACACATATATATATTAGTCCGTGCAGAATAAGCTGAAGAAAATTATGGTCAAACATGACCCCAAAAACAAGCTACTGTCCGCCAATATTACGCGCAAAGGCAGTGAAAAGCGTAGAAGACGACAATTAGAACTGCACCTTTGCATGTCTCTCGTTTCCGAGAGAAGAAGAAGAAGAAGAAAAGAACATCCTAAGATCTTCCCTTGTAATACTTTTGAATCCCAGTTTAAGATCTGAACAAGGAGATTTGATACCAAAAAAGAAAGAATCCAAGCAACAACGAGATTTACACGAATGAAGCAAAGGAAGGGGAATGAGCACCGACAGGACATGCACTCAGATTAGTTTTCCCTGATGTACACCAGCAGCGAGAAGCCGTCCGATCTCTTCAACTCCATCTCCTCCTGGCTCGCCCACTCCATCACGGTGGAACTGCTCGCCGACGACGCCGACGACGCTGACGATGAGGAAGAGGTCGTCTTCAAGAGGTCCTTTCTCCTGCTCTTCCTCTTCCTCTGTGCTGCCGTTGTCTCCGCTCCGCCGCCGCCGTTGCTGCTACTCTCACTCCAGTTCCTGGTCTTCCCGGGATGCCCCCCGAACACCGTGCCTTTGTACGCGCCGTTCCCAGAATGCCCCCCGTACGGGCCGCCAGATACCTTCCCGGAATACCCCTCCGCGGCCTTTGCGACCTCTTCCTCCTCTTCCTCGAAGCGGAACACGAACACGGCGTGCCCCCGCTCCGCGGCCGTCGGTACGGCTGCGTCGCTTAACGCGGCGTCTGCCGTTGACTGGAAGAGCCAGTCGTGGAGGTCCCACGAGACCTGCATCCGGGCGCCGCTCTCCACCTCCACTTTCTCTGTCCCCCGGAACTTCCAGCGGAGCCGCTGCACGTGGACGACCTTCTCGCCGTCGACAGCCACAGCCATCCCCGCTTCCGGCTCCCTATCTTTCGGGCCCAGTTCGATCGAAATCTCCCTATTCCTGCCCCCGAATCGCGCCATTGTCCGGTACGATCTCGGGCCGCCGGAGGTCCCCAGCACGACGTGCTCCCGCCTGGCGGTCGGCGTCGGGTTCGAGAAGGGGGCGATGGGCCTCCGGGCCTTGGTCTTCTTGTACGCCTCCTCGACGAGGTCTCCAGCGACGAGGAGCATCTCGCCATCAAAGGCGACGGCGACGAAGAACCCAGACGCAGGCTCGGGCCGGCCGCTGCCGCCCGTGTGGAAGCTGGCCCGCGAGAGGTCCCACGCGAACTCCACGCGGCGGTGGCAGGAGCGGTCCCTGAGGCTAAACCGCCGAGACCCCCGCCGCTTCCAGGGGAGCCACGGCCTGACGCGGAACCGGAGGCGCTCCCCCTCCTCGTCATCCTCCCCGGGTTCGGCGCCGGATAGGCGGAGGTCGGCGAGGAGGGTGAGGCCGACGATGGCGCGGGACCAGGTGAGGGAGGCGACGCCGAGGTGGGTGTCGTAGATCGAGGTCGTCAGGTTGGGCCCGGCCATCGTCGAAGTCGGGGTGCCCCTGGTGGTGGCGCCGCCGCCGCCAAAGCAGGACGGCAATCGATCCGGCATCGTCTTCGACCGGCCTCCGAGTCTGGGGTTGGAACCGGAATCGAATCGACGAAACAAGGGGTTTGGATCGAGGAGACGAAGTCCACGGGAAGAGCAAGCTTGGTTTGTGCGCCTCTCGTAGCGACCATATTTATATATAAACTCCGAAAATAAAAGTGGAGCCCACAGTGGGGCCCAGAGTAATTGAGGCAAAAGGTGTGCCTTTCTTTCTTTTTTGAAATTATGCGCTACTAATACAAGTTTATCAGTCAATAATTATATGATAAAAAAGGGGAGTGAAGGGAAGTACCAAAGAATCTGAGGGTGATGTGGTCAGAGGGATGGATGGTCAAACAGGGTGTTGGACTTTGACTTGAGATTGACCTTGTAATTGATGAAAGGAGAAGAAGAAGAAGAAGAAGAAGAAAAGAAATAGAGAGTTTGAAGGGTGGATCAATCTCAACTTGACCAATT